TAGGCCTAACCGGAGTCACTTGGCGGTGTGGCGTTCGTCGACCTCAGCGAATGAAGTTCCAGGGAAGGAAAGATTCTATGTCGTGTTTTAGAGAAAGAGAGAGCACCTGAGAAACGGTAAGATGGTAGGGTATTGCTAGGATTTTGTGTTTCCAGAAAATAATTCCTACAAAGATTTGTCGGGAAGTTGAGGGAAACCTTGGAAATAGTCTTGGTGCTAGAGGCAAAACCAGTCGCTTGATAAAGGCACCAAAGTCAGAGAAAAGGTTATGCGCATCAAGTGCAACAGTCTTCGTAATTGTTGCTGATAGTTTTATTTTGTTAGAGTTACAAAGCGTTTCTTGTATGCTATATCTTGGGCTTTGAAACTCAGTTGTACGACAACTTCCAGGAGAAAGGGAACTAAGAAGCGTTTGAAAGATTAGTCGCCCGTCCCCCATGTGTGCTTTATTCTTTCAGCGTCAGTCAGCTTTCAAGAAAGTGTAGAAGTATCTGTAAAGAAATAAACAACTACATAAATAAATAGATAAATAAATAAATAAGGGGGAGGGGTCGTCTCCAGATGCGAAACGCAAGTAATAAGACATATACCATCCGCGTTTTTGCTTCGCAAGCCTTCTGCCTGCTGCGCGAGACAGGTGAAGAGTAAAGTGGAAGCTCCTCCCACGTCTTTCCACTTAAGCACAGCGAACGCTAGAGTAGATGGCCACCTCCTCTCCAGCGTTCGCTCTGCTAAGATGTAAAGGGTGGGAGAAGCTTCCACTCCGTTCTTGACCTGATACCTACTATAGCTTTCCCGTACGCTTCGCACGTGCTTCACACCTTCCTAAAATAACCTGATTTTGGGGTTTTCGAGTACGCTCGGCAGGTTTCTAATTTCATTTCATTTCATTTATTTACCTCAAGGGCGTCTTTTGAGGACGCATTACATGAGAGGGGTGGCAATAAATGGGAATACAATATAAAACATAACGTAAGAACACTAACACAACCACATCTCGTCTAACCACAAAATAAAACAAGATATATATATATATATATATAAACAAACAGACGTTCCCTACTCATTGAACAAAAGCACGCACATTTCTTCAAACGCTGTAATATCTAAGTTGGTTACAAGGTGATCTGGCAAGTTATTCCATTCTGTAATACATAATATTAAGGGAGAAAACATGAATGAGTTATTATGGGAGCGGTATTGAAAGAGTTTACATGTGTTGTCGTTTCGAGGAGAAATATAATGGGCTTTTTGACAATAAATATTTCTGAACTGTGAATTACTATGGTAAACTTGATGGAAGAAACACATGCGTTTAATTTTGCGCCGTGTGGCTAATGAAGCGAGACCAAGTCTCGATTTTAAGGCAGAGACACTACTTTGTGGAGAGTAATCGTTTAGGATGAACCGGGTAGCTTTGTTTTGAATGGATTCTAGGTTTAATATTAGATCATTTTGATGTGGATTCCACACAACGCTTGCGTATTCAAGTTTGGGTCGAATTATTGTTTTATAGGCGAGTAATTTTGTCGCAGCAGGGGCCAGATAGAGGTTCCGCCTCAAGAAAGCTAATGATCTTGTTGAGCTGGCGATTATGTTGTCGATATGTTCATTCCACGATAATGTTTCAGAAATATGGACACCCAAGTATTTGTATGAGACACTTTCTAATTGTTGTGACAGTAATGAATATTCGCGAGATGATTTGGTCGAGTCGGTGGTAACGGTCATTTGTTTGCATTTTCATCTGCAATGGGTGCACCAGGAGCTTATGGTGTCGAGATCGTTTTGAAGAATGTAATGATCTGTTGGGTCAGTAATTTTTCTGCATACAACACAGTCATCGGCAAATAGCCGAATAGTCGAGTTAATTGAGGAAGGAAGATCATTAATATAGATAAGGAAAAGAAGGGGGCCGAGGACGCTGCCTTGGGGAACACCGGAAGTTTCTGCGACTGATGCTGATGAAGAACTGTTGACTGAAACTGACTGCTCTCTGTCTGTTAGAAACGAAGCTACCCAACTGATGACTGAAGAATGGATGTGGAGGAGAGAAAGTTTAAGAAGTAGTCGTTGGTGCGGTACGGTATCAAAAGCTTTCGAAAAATCAATAAAAATACTTCGGTTTCTGTTGAGGAATGATTATTAAAGTGAAGATCCGTGGTAAATTTAAATAGTTGGCTGATACATGAATGATGTTTTCTAAAACCATGCTGGTTGGGGAAAAAAAAGTCACAATGGTCCAGGTATGAAATGATGTGAGTGTAAAGTACATGTTCCATGAGCTTGCAGGGTACACTAGTCAACGAGATGGGACGGTAGTTAGATGGATTTGATTTGCTGCCCGATTTGAAGATGGGTCTAACTTGGGAGAAACGCCAATCGAATGGTACCTCACCAGAATTCAGACTTTGTTGAAAGAGTTTGCTCAGTATGTTGGATGCTGAATAATGCTGAATTGAAACCATCTTATTATTTCAATTATTTCAAAACGCTATTAGTACGTTATTATTTAACTAATTAACGTTTGGTTTTGCAATACCGGTTTTCAGATGTGCACTGGCGGTTTTTTCCCAGAAAGAATTCCTTTTTTTCTATTACCCTATTGGGAGGAATTTTTGAGCGTTTGCTGAAAGACGCGGTATACACTATACACCAACACACTGTGGACAAACAAGCCCGCGTTTGCCCGCATGAGGTGTGCGCACTGCACGTGCGCCGAAACCAGATTCACGCGAGAGAGACCGTCTGCGCATGCGCTGTACTGACCGCAGCACCACCGCAGCGGTGTGACGCCCATGGTCACTCACAGACGTGCGTGCACGCCCACTTACGAGTGAATATATAATGAGATGCGTGGTGACTCCCGCGCATCTCATTATTGCTCCTTAGCCAATGAGGCTGCGGCATTAGCCGATCGGAAGTCCGAAGGACCAATCAGCAGGCAGCACAAAAGCTTAAACATAATAAGTCACGCCCTGCGTTTTTTTGAGCCGTCGGTAACTATGTGGAGCGCAAGTTCGTCTGCTTCGTGGGCAGAGGCTGTGGTGACGTCAGAACGCCGAGCTCTGATTGGCGTTCTGACGTCACCACAGCCTCTGCCCACGAAGCAGACGAACTTGCGCTCCACATAGTTTTTTTTGTTCTTTTTTTATAGCTTTTTAATTGCGAGAAAACCTATGGCAAAACTGACAATCGCTTGTTCCCGAAAACCGTATCGCCCCCTTTACGTTTGTTTTGCGTCTAAAATAAAACAAGAAGAAAAAGAAAAAAACAAAAAAAAAACAGGCGGGATTGCTTTAATTTTGTGTTGTCTGATGCAGTGCAAGCGTCAAAGAAATATGTGGTCTTTATTTATCAACGTTGATAGATAGTACTCAGATGGTAGTGCTGAGGTTTCGGCACTAATTTCAGCGCCTTTTCGGACTGAAATGGAGATTTGCAACGAGGAACAAACAAAATCATGTATTTTGATCTTCGTAACTATCTCATGTTTCGTATATTGCAAAAATGTCGCGAGTTACTTACCGGAATAAAAATCTTACTAGAAATGTCGAAGAATTACGAAGGCACCCTCAAAGTGTTGTTTAGTTCGCGATATTACCGAGTTGGGCATTTTCAAACACACACCGTTCAGATAACCGAGCCCACACAACTGCAAGAAAAGAGAACAAATAAACGTGAAAACTTTGTAACTCACCGAAGAAACTCACTTAGTAAAGTAAGCAGAACTTATAAAGCAGACGACAACATCAGGTCCTCCAGACCTTTCAGACGATGGTCCTTAGTGACACTTAAAAATTCCATTGATATCCTCGCGTTTTCTATTTTTTACCGATGAGACAATAACCCTGTGTCCTTAGGGAATCACGAAGCATCAATGAATGCTCCATTGTTTCGCGTCCAATATGGAACGCTTCCCGGACGCAGGAAAGACCATTCAACTTTTATCGCCTTCGGCCATCTCCGAAAAGCAGAAAGCCCAATCAAACCACAACTCTTATGCGCTTACACTAAATAACAACAACCACAAATAATCACAGCTTTTTTTTTTGTTCGCGATATAAGGCACTAGAAAGTTCAGGGAAGTTGTTCAATACTGACCGTGTAAAACCGCACACACAAAAAAAAAATTGTGTGCTTAAAAAAGAAAAAGGAAATCCAGCGTTCTGCTTGAAGGCATCCCAATAAGACGTCTGCTAAAAGTAACAAAGACGCAGAATATGTGTTAATTTACGGTTAGGACTTGTTCTTGGTAGAACGTGAGCAGCTTTAGTTGCTTTTAAAAAAGTATGTGCAAAAACAAACAGTATTTGGGACTGCGGCGTAGCATAAAAACTTTGAGGAAACGCCCATGAATACAACACAGAGGTCCTCTGTTACTACGCGTGTAAGAAGATCATCCATCTTCTTATGATCAAACGCCCCAAAAATCTTGTAACTTGACGATCAATTTCGTACCCGGATTAATACTCTCCAAAATTTTGGTGTCCTTAATCCATGCGCTAATCTTGGCAATTACGTTAGTTCAAGACAGATCTTTCTTAGTGCTCCGACTTTCTGCGGTCTTCAGCACCGAATTTAGATATGTCACACAACAAAAACACGTTAAAAAAAATCAAACTTTTGTTTTGGTGTAAAAATTGTACATTGTCATTTGATTTCATGGATGCGAAAAGCAAACTTTCGGATACGTAACTGCGGAAGAGATATACACTCTAAAAAAAACAAAAATCTTGTTGTAAAAGAACGTTTTGGGGTTCTTCGGCTTGTCCATATTTGGCATTCTAAAAAGGTTTTTAAGCACCTCCTTAAAGGGTTCTTCGTCTATAAGGGTTCTCTTGAGCTGCCTTTTTGAAGCGAAAGAGTTTTTCATCGTCCAGCTGCCTTTCTAGTTCGCCAAGAGGTGATAGTGCTTGAGTTCTGTTTTCTACGAGCTGAAAGAGGTCTTCGGGTATCGAAGAATTTTTCAAGAACGGATTTTTTAAGTGGAACACAGGACGATACAATTTCTTTATTTCATCATATCGGTCGTACCATTGCAAACAAAACCCACGTAATTTAAATGTGAAATCTTACACATGAACATATTTTGAATCCAAATAAAATTGACAACCAAAAGGAAGTAAACATTAATGTTAAATTTCAGGCAAATTTTAAATACTTGATGTTTATACATTACAAAGTTTTTAATACAAAACATATCATGCGTACTGTAGCTGAATTTACGGTATAGAGATGCTCGTTTTTTCATACATTTGTTTCCGTATGAATTATTGTTGTGGCATAAACAACTCCTATGAAAACAAAACTGCAAAAGATAAAACTCCAGCATGTTGTTCACAAAAATAAAAAAAGAGAAAGCGCAGTAGAACAGAAATTGCATCCCGAGTTAATTCGCCGAATAAACTGTGAGAAGAGACAAAAACAAAATAAAGCAAAGTGCTCGTGAGTTTTATTCTGTTTATTTATTTGAAGCGAAGCTCCCATCTGTAACTCCAGCTGCCTTTGAAGGAAAACTCGTGCGTGGGTAGTGCAGACACAGCACACAGACGCGGAAATAAGCTTCCGGTGGCATTCGTTCGCCCCGAGCTCAGTGCCTAATTTTTTGTAAAATCGAAGCTTCGAACAATCTATTTAACAAACACCTCGTCTATTTACACTGACATCTTGCTTTAAAACAAAGCAAGCAAAAAAAAGATTGTACAGTGAGGATTTTTTTTTTACGTATCCTTCGTTTTTGTTTGGCGGAGTGTTCACTGAATATAGACCAACGCCCACCCCTGACGGCACCTCGCAGTGGTGCGCCACTTGCGGCAGTACGCAAATGCTTTATCTCTCACTGGGCGGGTTACCGCGCACGCGTAGTGCACGCACATGGTCTGTTGTCAACGGTCAATAGTGTACGAACAGACAGTAGGCATCTAAAGGTGAAATTCCTTAAGCATGCGCTACTACTTAACTTTTCTTTTTGCTTTTAGAGATTAAAAATTACGTCATTAGATCACCCCCTTCGAAGGAGGCCGACGGTCTCTAGCAAACCTTGAACAAAAACTCCGAAAAAGTGAACGTTTGTGGTACGCCTTGATGCGCAGTCGGAAAAACTGGAGACACAATCACACTCTCACATATATCATATGCAAACGACACGGTGCTAGCTAGAGACATGAAGACAGGATTATCTGCGCACACGTCTCGCGCCTGTTCGGATCATGTTTGTTTTATGTATATATGTAGGCTTGGAGCATTCCTGCAGACATTGTTTGTATGACTAATCTAACAAGACCGTCAGGATTAGCAGAGGGACCCAGGCTTAAGAGCTAGCTGCAAGACAAGGTCAAGAGATCATCACACCGAGTCCAGCTCAGTTTTCTCAGACGGTTCCACGGGCGGACAAGGACTAACCTGATTGGTCTTCCACGAAAGGTACATGTTCCACAACAGGGCGACCACACTCAAGTAGATGGCGCGGTAGAGGATAGGCACGAACTCAAAGTTCACAAACTGCGCCACCGGATAGAACGCGTACCTAGATTTCAGGATTACGAAGTACTTAGTCCTGATGTTCTCCCTGATGGCCTCCCAACTGTGCCCGGAAAGAAATCCGTGGACCACCAGGAAGCACAAGAAGAACGGCGGCGTGAAGAAGACTAGTCCTAAGGCCGTCTTGATGGCGGCTCCTGCGACACCGCCCGTCACCACGAGCCATTCCACAAACATGAGCCACAGCACCGTCAGGGTCCCGGTGAAGAACAAGCCGACGATGTAGTAGACGATCGCTTGTCTAAAGTCGAAGGAGGGTTTGTTTTGGATGAACGTCTGCGAGATGACATCGCCGGCGAGGGCCACTGTACCGACGGTTAAGACTTGCGTGATGACCGGGTGGGCGTGCAATATGTCGTTGTACTGAAGGAGTAAGCTGTCCATTCCGAACGTTAAATGCGCTTTGCAACCTCGCTACAGAGGGGACGGCAGCGCACGATGTTCGTTCGCGGGATGCGCCACGTGACTGATTGCAATTTCCTGAGAGTTGAAGCACCACAGTTGTTCGCGACTCCGCGACAGCAGCGCCCGGCTGCGGTTGGAAGTGATTATCAGTGTCGAATGAAGTGGCTCAATGCTTAACTTAGAATATACATTGACCTTTTATATAAAATTTTGGATGACGTTATGTTTAACATCAGTAAACGTGGAGCTATAGTTTTTTTTTTTTTAGATGCTGCATACGATTGAATTAGTTTGCCGAGCCAGCACTAGCGCCATATTTGACGGATGCCAACGCTAACGACCTCACTCTGTGCAACTGCTGCATTAAAACACCTGGACGGTTTTCGAAAACGAATGAGTATCATTCTGAAGTAGATAATTTGTCCCTTTTTAAAGGTAATTCATGCTGCCCCAACCAAAAAGATAAAAAAAAGAACATAAGCCCCGATATTGTTCGCCACCCATTGACAGGTGGCGGCACAAGCAGATACATTTTCCCTAGAGTGCCTCTTTCCAAAAATAGGTTAGAGAAGGTCCGCTACACAGCTTCGACCTCGTTTGAAAGCAAGTTTAACCAACTGGCAAGGCTGACTGCTGCAGTGGCGGAAATAGAAGCAGGGCATCACTACCGATGTTAGCACACGCAAAATATTTCCTTTTTAATTTTTTTCCTTCACCATTTTAACGCCGAACAGCTGACTTTCAAACCTGGCCCATAGATAGAGGCGCATCCCACTATACGCAACAGGTTTTTATGAGGTTTTCATCTGTGGAATGAAAATAAGAAAAATAGGCGACTGTGCGTTCGTGCAAACCGTGTGTCGCGCTTATATTTGGCTCATTACGCCCGTTGGAAGCTTGTGATACCTAGTAGCGTTGCCTAACCTGTCTTTCTCATCTTCTAGCAGGCTTACGGATTTTGCAATTGCAGACGGGAAGCAGATCGTTCGCATGGGTATGAAGGCTGACTTTTAGACTGGTATCGATTTAAAGACACATGCACTCTTCATTGTATTTTCACGCTGGTCTTGCAATCTGCTTGGTTCCTCTCCTCTAGTATCCGTGTGCATGCACATATTTTACTGACATATGCTCATTCGCGGACTTTCAAGTTAGGGTTTCGGAAAGAAAGTGATATTAAACAGGAGGTCATGCCTCGAAATATGAGCTGCTTTCAATATATTGAAGAGTTCAACTGTTCAACCGGAAGCATATTTATTTAATAAGCTAAGTATGGTTCATTATGTTCAATTCCATAACAATTTCATTAAAATGTAGGCGCACCACATGTTATATGCTCATCCCTGCCTCGTGTACAACGTTGTCCGCGCAATGCATGGTTCAGACAGTTGCACAGACGGAGCGACACCTTCGACTCTAAGAAAACCTTTGCCTGCAAACCGCCTCGCGATCACTCAAAACACCTATCATTGATTCACCATCAGTCTGGCTAGCTAACAGGAAGGGCGGGCGGTACAGTGCCCAAAGAATCAAAACGTGGTGTCTGCGCGGTCAAGAGGCGTCCCGCCTTCTCTCGGCTGGTATCGGATGACTGTTGGAGCACGACATGAAACCAGTTGATCAGCTGATTACCCTACAGCAGCAGTGATTGGCATTTATTAGTGAACTTTGGCGTAGTGTGTACGCAGGTATGGCCTCGAGTGTAGGGTCTGGGTTGCTTACTTTTAGGTTGGGACGCAGTGGGAAGAAATTCGACGATCACGGCAGTAGCTTGCCGCATTCGCGCTCTTGATTCGAAGGTAGGGGATAATGTCCTTCTTAGCGGACGGAGATCCGTACTGCCGGAAGTGGGCGATATTGCACTATAGACGTCATAATGAACTCTGGGTCAGTAATGAGGAGCCGAGGGCAGAAACCTTTCTGGTCACTCACGTCGTCTATCGAAAAAACAAACTCGATAAGCATCAAGACAGGGGGCGCCGCGCTCACTGCACACGCACGAGCAACAAACGCAAACATGAACCCGCGTTTTTTTTTTTTTCTGTTTACACAGATTTGAACGCGAAACCCCAAGAAAGCGACAAAACTATGAGGAAATGCTTGAAAGATTTTTGAGCCCTCGCTTGAGAGACACTTAACCCGAGCCTTCACATCACATCGGATAATACGTAACATGGAGAGACGACATTAAAAAAAAAAAAAAGGAAGAAGAAACACAAAATCGTTTATCCCAAGACGAACGAGGGAGCCAGTGGAACCACACGAAGAAAGGGCGAGCGTTTTGAGAAGGAATTGAGAGGAAATAGGGAAAGAGGGGGGGGTCAGGACAAAGTGTGTCGAAAACGAGCAATCTGTATGCAAATGAAGCAGGCCTTCGGACGTCTCTCAGGAAAAGCGACGGGAGGGACCCTCGTTTCATCCTGGAGGCATGTTCGCTCGGCCGTCGGGCGAACAATGATGGCGCTCATTTAAACTCGTCGCGTTGGGCCCTTTGCCTGCCCCCCGGCCATTATTTTTATCGCCAACTATCACCCTTAGATGCTCTAATCTCCGTCTTTGCCGTTACTTGTTCTTTTTTTTCTTCCCCTTCTTGCCTTGTCTCCGAATTTAAAGCGTTTTAGAGTTTGCGCCGTCATTTTGGTAGCGTGATGAGAATGTCCGTTCCCGGAGACGAGTTGAAGGAGGTGCTCGAGGGATTATTTAAAAAGATAAAAATAAAACAGCTTTTCTCTTTTTTTCCGTAATGAAACAAAAATTGGGTGATTGCCTTTTCCGAGCAAACCGAATTCTGACATCGGGAATGGAGGTAATGGTGTTTAAGACTGCCGCCAAGCTAAACAAAAGTGTCAGAAATATGTTGAGGTTTCGAATACAGATGTTAATCGCATTTTCAAAGCACAACATCTTGAACTCCTTACTCAAGAACTTTTGTGGGTGATCCGCCGGGCGGTCCCAAATTTTGATGCGGCATGGCAAATTAGAGTGCCTTTTGCAATAGCAAGTGCAAAGTCCCGTATTGATTCTACCATTTATGTTGGTGTGATAAACCAACGTACACAGCATGACAGAGCTAGCGCGAACAAGCACATCAGAGGCTGTTACTCTTTTGTTTCTTCCGATAGTTGAGCTCATATCATCAAATTTACTGCCTGATCAGATATAATCATCTCGGGCAGTTAGATAGGCAGTACAATTTAATGTTCGTGATGCCTTACCTCAAAAACCGCACGCGACGAAAAAAAAAAAAAAAAAGAATTCGCGAAGTTTTTTTGTTTTTTTTTTGTGTTGCCAAGTGTAAAGCTTCCGACAGCTTTAAAAGTTTCGAGATAAAGTTTTGACTGAGACAAGCAACGACGGCATCTTAACACTTGCAAAACATGAGCAAAAACAAAAAGAAGAAAACAATGATTATATCAGTAAAACACTATTAGATGAAAATACACAAGGGTGCCAAAACAGGGCGCTATAGAACATCAAGACAGCTGTAGCGAACCCACCGGTACTAAAATAAAAGCAAGCGTCTTCTCGCGGCTTCCCGACGTCAGCGTTATGCGGCGAGACACTGGAGTGCTGTGCAAACGCAGGCAAAGGCAGCCCGTGTGCACGCATCGAACCCGATATCGACTGCGAGGAGGACGCGGCAATCGGAAGGGTGCGCTGGCTAGGTGGCGCTCCGATCGGTCGATGCGTAGTTTCCCCGTAACCACGTGCGGGGAACACCACCGGTCAGCGATAACGGCTAGGATCCATCTATCCTTTAAAACGGAACTAAAAAAAAAAAAAAAACAATCGGGGGGAGAAACAAAACTTTGGCAGCATGTTTTGGTCGTCCCTAACAAGATTCATGAATACATCTCTTTTTAAGCATAATATGCGTTTGAACGCTACACTCCCATCCCAGAATTTTGTCCGTCCATGCATTTCCCACTAAATTTAGCGGGGAAATTGATATCGGAGACGTATGCACGAATTTGGTTCATTAGCTAAATTTAGCGAGAAAATTGATGTCACGTGACCTATAACGCATTTAATGAATTAGGGGACTTTGAAGATAAATGTCGCAGACAATTTTAGAGCCCAGCTCTTAGGCACCCGTTTCCGCGTTAAGCGGTGTCGGCGTCGCCGTCGATGTAACCTTGCGCGTTGCATTATGGGACGTCACAAACCTGCACACCAATTCAATTCTCAGCTAAATTTAGCGAAGAAACTGACTTGGTATGTAGGTCTGCTGTGATGTCCCATAATTCAATACTGTGCATTCAGTTTCCCCGCTACATTTAGCGGCAAAACTAGCGTCACATGATCTCAGCACCAATTCAGTTCCCCTGCTAAATTTAGCGGGGAATCAAATTGGTGTTGAGGTCATGTGGCGCACTTTTCCGGCTAAATTTCGCGGGGAAACCGACTTTTTGTACCAGTCACGTGACCTGAAGTCATGCGACACCATTTTCCCCACTAAATTTAGCGGGGAAACTGAATTGGTGTTCAGGTCATGTGACGTCAATTTTCCCGCAAAATCTACCGGGAAAACTAAATTCCCTCATAAGTGACGTAACACGAAGTCATATGACACCATTTTGCTAGCAGAACCTAACGGCGAAACTGAATCGGTGTTGAGTTTACGTGGCGTCAATTTTGGAAAAACAGTGACGTCATGTGACGTCATGTGACGTCACAGGCGACGGCTTCACCGTCCTCCCTGGCCTACCCTCAAACAAAACAAAACAAAATGGTATGAATATATATATATATATCTTTCTCAAATTCTCCACTACGGTATATCTCAAAACTAATGTACATCAAGAGCTGCGCTCTAATTTCGCATTAGGGAGAAACGTAAACGTCTCTAACATTTTATTATTATTTTTTTTATTATATACTCAATGGCAGTGTTTAAGAAACATGGGACGTGGCGGATCCGGAGCATTTTTTTATCGCTTTAATAAGTCAATCAGATTATGGCACTGGCCGGTAATACCGCCAAAGAACGTATCTCGAAGAATGATCTGCGAACATAATAGGCCTAACTATAGCCATATTTACTTTCGTTTTCAGCT